ATGGCTCTCAAAAGGTAAAGAGTTATAAAGCGAAACTATCTAAATGAAACTAGATTAAGTACATTAATTGATCAATGAATAATTTAATTATATTACATCAAACAGTTTATTCAATCACGTAACTCAATTGGATGACATTACATATAAGAACAACGAAAACAGCTGATAGATATTGGAGGAAATTTAAGTGTGTAGATGAATTTTAAACAAAATACATTTAAACCACAATAAAATTATGAGTATATACTTGTTTCTAAAAAAACAATATATAACATACTTATTATCAGAAGGGGTTTTGTGGAAATTGTAGTAATTTCAATAGTTTATGAGTCAATTTAAAGCTAAACCACCATAGAAAACCTGGAAGCACTGGACGGAGATCACTTAGATTCCAGAAAATGGTCATCAACAATTCAATAACTTAACACTTTACGAACATATGTCAACAGCTAATACCGATAAATGTGAAGGTTGTGAAAATGTTTTTTCAAAGATCAAAGAATAATGAGATGGTGGAGAAGATTTGTAGCTCAGGTGGATGATTTTGGTGGAGTTTTGTTCTCTGAGCTCAGAGAACAAAACTCCACCAAAATCAAAGAATAATAAATAATACTGGTACTTCACCTAACCTAGATGAAACATCTGTAGATAATTATGAAAATAATGAATTACTAGACTTGTGTTTTTCATCAACCAGTATAGTGATTCCAGAATCAACATAAAATAACTAAAACTGAACAACTATTTTCTCTGTGTTATATAGTACTAAAACATTTAACCTCATTCATTCGACGATGTATGATTCATAACGTTGGATTTTCTTTTAGTGACCATTCATTACTTTGGTTGTAGAAACAATCAGAAGTATTCATATTAGTAACTGATTGATTTTGAATGTAATTTATGTAGCTTCTAATTCAGTTAATCTTTATCCTTGTCAAGAATATAGTTCATATTAAACTTATTATTACGTAAGTGACATTTTGCGTACTTCTACATTAAGTATAGTTTAAAATAAAACTTTAAAGTAAACACATTCTTAATTTCAATATCGATTATTTTTAGGAATACTCAGATTATATGGGATTTGAGTCCTGGATACTGCATTTGTGTGATTATGATTGTAAATAATTCATAAGGTATCATTATTATCGAATAGTCATCATAAAATGAAGACAGATTAAAAGAAATTCTAATAGTTTTTTAATAACATTTCTTAACCTAATTTAATGGAAATTCTAGATTTTATAAAATGTTTACAGGAATAAATAAACATCAAACATACTCATACAATCTTATGATGACAGTAAGAAATACAGCTAAGTGGATATCATAGTCATTTGTTTACGGAATAGAAAACACAATGTTAAGGTTTTCATTACCTGTAATACTTATGTATCCAATCAATTATTTGAATATAGTTTCATTTCTATTTAACTAGCTAAGATGGTCAATTTGCCACACCTAAGTTGTTCACACAATGTAATAAGGATTATTGATTACAAATTTCGTAAGGCGTGTATACGGACATAAACTATTTCCTACACCAAACTTTATGAATCACTTTCAGGCTGCAGCATAGCCTTTAAAAGGTTTAATGTTGAGATACTTATAAAGATAATTCATTATCGGTTTTATGTAGAACATTATGAATAAAAGTGGTTATAGATAACTCCATTCCTTTCAAGGATGTATGCACGTAACTATGAACAAATTTTAACAAAGATATTTTATCTCTTAGCTACAAGCAAACAATATGAATGATTTGCTTCGAATGTCAGTCAAACCATCTCTAATGAGCTACAGCCAGGAGACATTAAAAACCTAGATACGTTATATTTAGATGACAACTCCTGAAAACGTAAAAACGAATTCAGTGAAATATATTTTAATGTGATTTGTCACAGTAAACAGATTTCATCTGATGTTAGAAACAGTATACAGGATTATCAGGACCATAATATTTATTACTGTTGGAGGTCAGATAAACACAAAATTGAGTACTCCTCGTGCATGGGCATAGGTCAACTACTAACATTCTCCATCCAACTCTGGCCTGGGAAATTCTTTTAATTGCTGTCCATCATTTCCATATCTCCTACCGATTCCCGATGCATTATGTTCTTTGGTCTTCCTTTTTTCCGTTTCTCCTCAGGATTCCAATTCAGCGCTTGCCTGATGATGCAGATTGGTGATTTCCTCAATGTATTTCTCGTCCACTTCTAACGTCATTTGTTAATTACCTACTCAGCTCAAACCTGGTTTGTTCTCTAACACAGTAGACTGTTGCTGATGATAACCAGTCAACAGGCATTGAGTATCTTACATAGAAAACTGTTTACAAATACTTGTACTTTTATGATTGTGGTTGTAGTAGTTCTGAAAGTTTCAGCTGCATACAGTAGAACTGCCTTGACGTTTGTATTGAAGATTGTGACTTTGATATTGGTTGAGAGAAAGTTGTTTTGAGTTGGATGTGTTGTTCAACTGTAGGGATGCTGTTTTACTTTGCCAATTCTTGTCTCTACGTGTGCATCAGATTCTCCACGTTCATCGATGATACTGTCCAGATGGGCACATGAATGTATACACCTAGTGCAGAGCTTTTCCATCAAGTGTGATCGTATTGTTGTTTTCCATATTGGATTTGAGGATTATGGTTTTCCATACTGATGTAGAGGCTGCTGCCACTCTGCTGAAAACTTTTCCCGCTACCGATAGTAGTATGATGTCTCTCTAGTTAGTTGTCACATTTTCTCAGATCACCTTTCTTTGGTATCTTGATGAGGTATCCTTCTTTCCAGTCTGTCGGTGGCACTTGTTCTTCATCCCAGATTTTCCTGAAAAGAACGTGGTTATGATTGTAGTTATTTCTATGTACGGCTTCATTGCTTCGGCTCGTATATTGTCAGGTCCTTCTGCTTTCTCACACTCCATTTGTCTGGTGGCCATCAATATTTCTCCGATTATTGGTGGAGTGTTAGCTAAAGGAAGATCTGTGTGTGCTGTTACGATTTTCAGTGGTTTGAACCGAGCTGTTCTATTCATGAGTTGCTCAAAGTGCTCTACCCACCTGTCCCTCTCTCCATGAATTTCAGTGATTGTCCTGCCTTTTTAGTCTTTGACCGGTCTTTCTGTTTTACCATAACCTCCAGTCAGTATCTTCGTTGTGTCATATAGTTATTTCAAATACCCTTATCTTTCAGATTTTAACTCTGTCATTCATACGTGTTCCATGTATTTCTGCTTGTCCGTTCTGATGTTCTTCTTCACTTGCTTGTTTGTTTCTGTGTATTCAGTTTGTGACTTGAATTTCTCTGTTGTTGTTCGGCTGTTGTTAATTACTATATTCATTTTCTTCCTTTCTTGAATACAAAACACGGTTTCCATAGAGATCCATTCCTTATCATGATGCTCCTTACAGCACAGCAATTCCCGATACATAATAGTTAGTGTTTGTTTGATACATTTCCACCTGTTCTCCATTGTAGTTTCCTCTTCTTCCAATAGATCCTGTAATTCTTGGAACTAGTTGTTGAGATCTATCTTGAATTGGTTGAGTTTGTCAGTATGTTGAGTGTAAGGCTGTATTGAACATTCGTAATGCTATTTCCCTAGTTGCCCATTGCTTCTTTAGATTCAGTTGCACTCTGGCAGTCACTGGGTTAGTGGTGATGTGAAGCTATATCATCTCCTCTCCTGGTTCTCACGTCTCCAATTGACCTATTGAGTTTTCAAGTGATGCAAATATGATCGATCTGATTCTGTGTAGTGTGGTGCGGTAAAATCTATGTAACTTTGTATATGGGTTTGTGTGAGAATATTTTGCCACCGGTAACTATTTTATTGAATGCACATAAATGTGCAGATATCTCATCATTCTCGTTCATTTCTCCTGATCATTCCATGTCGTCTCATGATATTTTCATATCCAATGTTATCCATTCTGACGTTGGTGTTTAAGTCTACCGTGAGGATGGTTAGTCGTTTCCTGAGCACTTCACCATGATCGACTGCACTCTCTTGTAAAACTGATATTCATCGTTGTCATTTCTATCACTGATGGGTGCACAACATTGGATGCATCTATTGTAATATCCTTCTTCTCTCTTTTCAATGACGTTTTGATGATTAAGAATCCATGAGATTACCATCTTGTAATTGCTTCACGTGATTGTTTGTATAGCATCAAAATAACTCCGTGAGTGTTTGAAGCATTTTCATCTCCGCGATCAGAGCACTGCAGCATCTCTCTCGAATCTAATCTTTTCCATTCTGTCTAGTTTGGCTTCACTGGATTGTACTGATTCCGAGCACGATGAAGTTGTATCTCCTCATTTCCTTAGCTTTTCGACTGGTCCTCCCTGATTCCCTCACTGTCCGAGCATTCTATGTACCCATATTAGTTGGAGCTGTGGTTGTTAGGAGGAGTATCATTCTGATGTTCTTCTTCACTTGCTTGTTTGTTTCTGTGTATTCAGTTTGTGACTTGAATTTCTCTGTTGTTGTTCGGCTGTTGTTAATTACTATATTCATTTTCTTCCTTTCTTGAATACAAAACACGGTTTCCATAGAGATCCATTCCTTATCATGATGCTCCTTACAGCACAGCAATTCCCGATACATAATAGTTAGTGTTTGTTTGATACATTTCCACCTGTTCTCCATTGTAGTTTCCTCTTCTTCCAATAGACCCTGTAATTCTTGGAACTAGTTGTTGAGATCTATCTTGAATTGGTTGAGTTTGTCAGTATGTTGAGTGTAAGGCTGTATTGAACATTCGTAATGCTATTTCCCTAGTTGCCCATTGCTTCTTTAGATTCAGTTGCATTCTGGAAGTCACCGTGTTTTTGGTAATGTGAAACTTGAGTACATAATGATTTTTAACAATTTTCGACGTAGATGGTTACATAGAATGAGAGATTTACGACTTTCAATTAAGCAAATATTTGTTTTAATTCATCTAATAAAACTGATATGTGTATAGACTAAAAACTCACCTAATCCATATGCTATTAAATCTAATGTTGTTAAACATCGATTCAAACCAGTTTTGAGTAGTTCTTTCATATCACGTCCTATTTCCTTTTTACGAAACAATCCGGAAGCCACAGCATTTCCATACTCCTCACAACATTCACATTTTTTATGTTTTGTATCGGACATTAATATATTTGGCCAACGATAGATGGAAAATTAATAAGAGTTAATAAGGGAATAATATGTATCTGATCCACTTTTTATACACAGTATTATGTTTGTGTGACATTGTCTGAATAAATTGAAGTTTAATATTCCTAAAAGCAGTCCCTTCCTTTTGATTGGTGTATTTGAAGTCGAAATTTTATTGGATAATATGAAATGGAAACAATAGCTTGTTTACTTTAAGTGAGTATATATACATATTGACCTCGTATGTGCTTGAAGCAAATTATTATATGCCTTTATAAGTATTGATTTTTAGTTGAAGTGAAATGAACATGAACCTGCATGCTTTTACATTTCCTTGTACGTATTGATACGAATCATTTTTCTTTTGTATGACACATGACAATAAACAAGTTTTGTCTGTTCTATTTTTAACGGGCTTGTATTGTATACCTTTGAAAGTATATTGAAAGTACATACATTTTTTTATCATTAGAAATATAGTTTTAATCATCTGCTCACTAGTGACTGACTTCAAGAGATACTCTTAGGGTTCTAGTGGGAAGCCGTTAGCAGTGGAGTTCAACCAGGTCTGTTGTGAGATATCAGCTCACTGAAGACAATGGTGTACGATGGCGCGACTTCGTGGATTGGTTGAAGTTAGACATTAACACCGTTCGACGCCGGCTCAGTGGTCTAATGGTTAAGTGCTCGCGCGCGAAGCCAGTAGGTCTTGAGTTCGAGCCCCGTGTGGTGCGGGATCGTGGATGCGCACTGCTGAGGAGTCCCGTACTAGGACGAAACGGCCGTCCAGTGCTTCCATGTTTTCAATGGTGGTCTAGCTTCAACTGACTCATGATTTAAATCTATGAAAATATAGTTTTAAGTTGATTTAAATCATGTACTGTCATGATAGTAGGACCTAGCTTATTAAACTTGTTCTTCCAGGACAAAACATCTAATTTCTGATTGGATAAATGAAGTCAATTTATGATTTAGAGTAATTTCAGGATATTATTCAATGGAGCAAAGAGCTACGAAACAAATATATTTTTATATGTTTACGATCAAAGAAATGAACAGAGATGAAATCTTCGTTTACAATTTAAAACATCCATTTATTCATTAGAATAGTGGTTTTTATTCCCTAAAATAAATTGATGAAAATGATAGAACTTACATGAACGTTCTGTAATTTGATACTCATGTTTCCAATATCATTTTTTGTCTGTCATGAAAATTTAGTTCATAAAAGTTTATACACGGTTAATAGTAACCTTTTTTAAGATGGTGGATTTTGTGTTGATGATGTCGTTCAGAAGAACGATAAAAGCTCCACGACCAAACCACTCAGCTCAGAGAACAAACCTCCATCAAAACCTTTTTTTTATCTAAATCATTAGCTATAACTTCCTAACATATACAAGTCATAATCTTTATATAATAAAAATTTCAATAGCTATATACGATGAAAGCATCATAGTGTTAGAGCAGCACCGTTAAATAGTAAAATGTTAACTTTTTAATAGAAATAAATATAAGTAACAGTGAGGTTTATGTTTACATATTGATAGTTTGTGTACATTATTCCATTATCTATCCAATATAACTGATCATTTGTAGACAAAAGTGAATAATGATTTACTCATTTATAGAAGTTATTTGTAAGCTTTTTTATTTCATTCAAGTACCAACGTGTATATGTTTAGATCACTCAGCAACCTTATTTCTAAGGTGATTAACTATCCAAATTTGTTTTGTAAATTATGTTAGCTGTCATGTGTAGTGTTAGTCGTAAGCTGAATATATTATTTAACAAATATACATATCCCCTTGAATTAATCCGATCTAATGTAATAACAACAACTAGGGTAACATGTTTACGCACGTTGAAAAGTCTGGCTTTAATACAATTCACTGATTACACGAATGTGTTTATAACCTTGAATTTATTTAGTTCTTGAATAATGTATTCGAAACTGTGCCACTGATAACACTATTTGAACACAAGTTAGAAAACTGAATCGATGTGAAAATAATGATATTTTTGTAGCTATGCATCAAATTATTATTACCTTTGAAACCATGGAAGTATAACAGCAATTTATTAATTGAAATAAATATTTTATTAAGTACTCATGATTTGACTCTGATACATCAATGACACATACGTCCAAGAATAAAGGAAAGAACAGAACATTGTAAACTTGAACAAGAGAGACAACTAGAAGAATGGAATGCCTCAACAAACAAACTGTTTGTTACAACATTCTGCTGTCAATCTCCCATAACTTTCTTCACTTCTGCATTTAGTGTGTGATGGAGGAGGTTTTAGTGGCTCGAGATCTGACTTCAGTTTTATTGTTTCTAATTGCTGTTGAAATATATATATCATCGATCCGCGCATAAAATTATCGACTTAGATCGCGTTAGTGAATAACGGGATTAAATAAGTCATTTAAGTGAATAAAGTTTTGAACAGGTACTTTTTGTACTATCGTTGATCGGCACAGATAATCAGAGAAACGGAACAAAGGAAGCAAAGAAGATAGATAGATAAAGAGAGGCGAAGCCAAATGACGTATAGTGGAGTAGGCGTATGAGCCAACACCATTTAATCAAGCGTTAATCGATATTTATAGCCAGATAAAAAGTAAGTTACAGACATGTGATGAGTAAGATAAGAAATGAAAATATATACGCTTACATAAAAACAGTCAATGTTGATAACTGAATAATTAATAAGGTCAAAATGTAGCCTGAGGAGGATGGATAAATTGGTTTGTCCAGAAGCTAGAATAAGTTATATGTGCTTAACATAGTAACTGACATTATAAGGTTTTTGATGATTTCATCATATGTATTTTCTATTTTCGAAATCAACAAGCAGAATGAAAGTTGGTAAATGATATAATGCGACCGACTGGTGTTTGTTCGCGAGACTTGATCATTGACTTTAACACCCAATGATTTGAAATAAAAAACAAGACCACTAGCAAAAATAGTCGATGCAATAAAATAACTTGCTTATTTACAGAATATTAACACAAAATAAGTATGATGAAACGTCATAGGTAACTGGGGAAAATTAGCTTGTGGGTTCTTTATTCTCCAATCAATCATGATCTGATTGTAAAGCCTAATTTTCGGGCATCGTACCAAGTGTCATTCAAATCCTAAATACTTTAAGTAGAAAAAGTACTTTCGCTATCGATCTTTATACATTATTGACGTTTTGATCTCTCTGTCAAATTGATTTCTACAAGACTTTGAACTATTTGATGACTTCAGAGCGGAAAATTCTTTACTTTCCACCATATATTGCATATATTAAATGAAATATTAAGAAGCATAATCGAATAGAGAAATTAGCATTATTTAGGCTAACTACTGAGTAGTAGTATGATAATACATCCATAAAATTTCAATTGTACACTTTTTAGTAGCTCATAGATAATGAAGATAGGCAAAATGACTTGAAAATGTATTAGCGAAACAAAACTCTTGAATATCACCCATATACTATACTTTAGAGAACTCGTTCGAGTACATTAAAATACACCGTGTTATCCCACTATTATATGTATTTGTCTCATGAATGCATATTCAGAGTTACAAACATATATCAATTCAGCACAGATAACCTCAATTTTAATTTTATTTTCATAGTGATTATATTTGAATGATGAAAGAAAGAGTCGTTTGTAAACCTGGTACATGAATTTCGATTCTATTGTATAGTCTAATGTCAGAAATTTTATTGGTTTTAATTAATATTACTTACTTACGCCTGTTACTCCTCGTCGAAGAGCATAAGCCATCCACCAGCATTCTCCATCCAACCTTGTCCTGAGCAATCCTTTCCAGTTGTTATTCATACTTTTCATATCTGCTTTTATTTTCCGACGTAATGTGTTCTTTGGCCTTCCACTTTTCCGCCTTCCTTCAAAATTTCAAGCTAGGGTTTGCCTTGTGATGCAGTTTGATGATTTGCGTAATGTATGTCCTATCCATTTCCATTGTCTTTTCCTAATTTCCTCTTCGGATGGAAGCTGGTTTGTTCTCTCCCACAAAAGGCTGTTGCTGATGGCATTCGGCCAATGGATGTTGATAATCTTGTGGAGACAACCACTTATAAATACTAGTACCTTCTTGATGGTGGTTGTTGTAGTTCTCCAAGTTTCAGCTCCGTACAGTAGAACTGCCTTGACGTTCGTATTGAAAATCCTCACTTTGATATTGGTTGAAAGTTGTTTTGAGTTCTGCATGTTCTTCAGTTGTGAGAATGCTTTCCTTGCTTTGCCAATCCTTGTCTTTACGTCTGCATCTGGACCTCCTTGTTCATCGATGATGCTTCCCAGGTATGTGAAGGGTTCTACATATTCTAGAGTTTCGCCATCAAGTTGCTGTTCTCCGTGTTGTGTTTGAGGACCTTGGTTTTCACCTTGTGTGTGTTGAGGCTTACCGATGCAGAGACTGCTGCTACACTGGCTGTCTTTATCCGTATTTGTTCGTGTGTTTGCGATAGGAGGGCTTGGTTATTTGCGAAGTCCAAATCGTCTAGTTGATTCTGAGCTGTCAATTGTATGCTGTGTTTTCCCTCAGATGTCGAAGTCATCATAATCAAGTCGACCACCAGAAGAAAGAGGAAGGAGGAGAGTAGATACCCTTGTACGACCCCAGTCTTTACTTGTAATGCCTACGTTAGTTGTCTTCCATGCACGCCTTTGCACTGTAATCCGTCATATGAGTTCCGGATAATATTGACAGTTTTCTCATGAACTCCGTAGTGTCGAAGAAGTTTCCATAACGTTTTCTTATCTACACTGTCAAACGCCTTTTCATAATGAGTGAAGTTGATGTATATTGACGAGTTCCACCCAACTGATTGTTCGACGATTATCCGTAGTGTCACAATTTGATCTGTACACGACCGATCTTTACGGAATCCAGCCTGTTGATCTCGAAGTTGGGCGTCTACTGAGTCTTTCATCCGGTTGAGCAACACTCTGTTAAAGACAGTAGTGTGGTGTCTCTGTAGTTTTCACATTTGCTCAAATCTCCTCTCTTTGGAATCTTGATGAGGTGTCCTTCTTTCCAGTCCATTGGCACTTGTTCCTCCTCCCAAATCTTTTCAAATAGAAGGTGAAGCATGTTTGTAGTTACCCCGATGTCTGACTTCAGTGCTTCAGCTGATATATTGTCGCGTCCT